ATTGGCATGATATGAAAATACATACATGAATGGTTTTTTCAGCAATGAACTGTGGTTCTTCATTTCCTAAAATTCTGATGAAAATTTTTATAGCCTGATCCAAAAATGAAGGATATTGTGGATTACTAACAATAGTCTGAAAAATAAAAGGATACTTTTATTATAAAATTAAAACACAATTATTTTATTAAAATATTCCTTTTATCATTGTTAAACATCTATTCAAATTCTTTTATTTTTATTTATTATTTAAAAAAATATTTTTATAAACATTGTATGCTTGATTTCAATGGTGTGCCTCTAGTCTTTAGGTTTCAAATTCAAACTGTAATGTATCAAAACAAATATTTTTTTTTCTTCATTAGAGTAATAAAACTAATAACATGTTTATCATTAATAGTCTATTAATACTAATATAGGAGGGAGGATAAATAGTGTTTTTATGTCTCAGCTTGCTTAAACAGTTTTTAAAAAGCTTTTGAGCCAATCACTTGAATGCTCCTTAATTCTTAGAATTTAAATTCTTAATTGCCATTCAATTAAATTCAATGATCTTCATACAATTGGTGCTAAAACATTAATTTCTAAATAAAAAATTTTATCAATTTATGGGAAACTAAACTGCCAATTGCATTTAATGTAAAAGAAAAAAAATTGGTAAAAAAGTGAAAAATGAAACCAAAAAATAGGAGGCAAATTTAAATAAATAGGGAGGGGTTTAAAAAGGTTCCTGTAATTCGATAGTCAAAATTGAATTGAATGCTGGGCTTAACGGCACAATGACTTTAATTGTGGCATATATAATCTGCGAAATTATGAAAAATGAACTGTCATTTCTGAAACTGAAAAAATAAATTTCGAATTCCCCATACAATGACATTCTGAATATAGCATTTTACTATATTAAATTTAAACCTTACTTCAAGCTCTCCACTCAATTCTGGCAAAGCTTTCAATTTACTTTCATCCTCTATAAAAGAAAAGAAAAGAGAAAATTAAAGTTATGCAATATAAAAATCAATAGGAAAAGTGAATTAATGACAGATAAATAAACAAAAAATAAAATAAGCTATAATTACAGGTTACTACAATAAATGCATAAAATATATTTGATCAAGGTTTTGCTTTAAAAAGAAATGTGGATTTGATTAAATTAAAAATGAGAAGTAAGAATATTTAAGTATGATTTTTGATCAGGTGCAGATAAATACAATGATTTATTTATAGGTATATAGTTATCTTTAAGTAAGTATGATTTAAGTAGATAAGTAAGATTTATTTATAAGTATATTACTTTGGTTATTTTATTTTTCGTGAATATCAATGTATGAGAATTGTAAACATTACCAACAAAGTAACATGAGCCATAAGTATATAGTTGTTCATTAGGTACATCCTTAGTACTAAATATAATATCTATGTAATCTCAAATACTTAATTGCTATGAGAAATTTTCAAGTGAAAATAAATTCTGATTTTTCAATTCCCAATGACTAATTATTAAACTTACTTGCAACAGGATTTTTGAGCATTGATACATATGAGCGGTAAGTATTCATAACAGCAACAGGATCATTAATGGATGCTGATACACTCATTACTGGTATCCTTGCCATGCTTAAGGACTCCAGAAAAAGCTATTCAATGATAAAACTCACCTCAAATTTTAACAATTCTATAAAAAAAAATGTAAATATTTTCAAGAATTTGCTAAATTGTAAGGACTGCAATTATTCATAGGCAAAATTAGTAAACATGTATTAGAAATTTTAAAAAAACAGAGATTATTCTGTTTTATAACAACAAGAAATGTTATTTTAGAGTTTTCACTTAAAGCTTCAGTCTCTAGCTGAGTTATATTCTATAAAATAATATAAATACTGTTGACGCTCAATATAATGACCCCTCTGGTTCAAACAAAAGCGAATTTATAAGTAGTGCACATATTTACTTAGGTTTTATACTAGATACATTATTCAGAAGTTAAAATCTAATTGAATGCTGGTCTAAACGGTACAATGACTTTAATAGTGCAGGGGTAATTGTGAGCCCAAGTCAAAATTCCGGAAAATTTCTTGAGTTAAAAAACATTTAAACAAGGTTTTTTTCCTTTTTCTCAATAATTCTTAGATTACTTAAAATATATTAAAAAATTTTACATATACCTATACCATTTACACGTACCTATGATGACCCGGAGAAGTAATTTAAATTTATAAATATGTCTTTCTTTCTTGAGTTTATGATTATAATAACTATCTACTGATAAAAATGAATATTAATCATGAATATAAACTTATAAAGTATCTGGCGGTCCCTTACAAACAAATAAAATAAACTGTGTTTTTAAGTTCCACCTTTGAAAATTNCATGCTTAAGGACTCCAGAAAAAGCTATTCAATGATAAAACTCACCTCCAGTTTTAACAATTCTATAAAAAAAATTTCAATATTTTTAAGAATTTGCATAAATTGTAAGGACTGCAATTATTCACAGGCAAAATTAGTAAACATGCATTAGAAATTTAAAAAAAAACAGAGATTATTCTGTTTTATAAGAACAAGAAATGTTATATTAGTTTTCACTTAATGCCACTTAAAGCTTCAGTTTCTAGCTGAGTTATATTCTATAAAATAATATAAATACAGTTGAAGCTCAATATAATGACTCAGCTGGTCCAAACAAAAGCGAATGAGATAACATGAGTTTGCTATATCGTGTTTATACCTATGTAGTGCACATATTTACTAATATTTTACACTAGATACCTTTTTAAAAAGTAGAGTTTCAGTTATTTTGAGATTTACAATCCAAAATCAAAACAATATATGACTACAAACTCATATTGCTTTAGGAACTGTGGATTTAATTTTCGCCTTTTACATGCTTACACTTTCAGATCTGGCCATTTTAAGATAATTTGATAAGAATAGGTAATTGTGGTGAGTTTGTTTTAGTACAACATATGCTGAAACTTTAGACAAAGCAAATACGTTAATTAGTTCAATGGCACTTTTAATGGATAACAAAAAAAATTTGAAAATTTATTATCATTGTGTTACAAATTAAAACATTCTGATGCAAGCCAGTGAATTAAATTTGTAAGTTTTGTTATTTGCCAAAACGAAACGAACTTTAATTGTTTTAAATTTATTAAGTTAGAAGAATGGAGAGATCTCAAACAGTAAATAATGAATTTGAAGGCAAAAAGAAGACTTTAAAAAATTATTAGCTTAATAGCACCGTTGGAGAGATAGCCAAGTAAATAAATTTCTACATTAAAAAATTAAAATTAGTCTTTACATTCACATGGTCAAATCATCAAATTCGTTTTGGAAATTAAAATAGACTTTCGATTCATTCAATTTCATTAAACTTTCTTAAGCTTAGACAAAATATTTTTTTATGCTAGAATTATTTATTTTATAATATTTAGACACAGAATTTATTGTTTAGGCCTTTATTGTGAGTACACAAACATATAATTTTATTATGTTATTATGTATACAATCTATGTATAAACATATATTGTGTGAATAATTTGTTATGTATGCAGCAAACCACTGTAGGTGCATAATCACTCACCCTTAAAAATGTTTTGATTATTTATATACATTTTTATTTAACCCACTGACGGTTCTGCACGTAAAAAATCGCATTTTAACCTGCAGTCTTCTCTGCATAGCAAAACCGGTTTTCCCATGTTAACTGATAGGGGAACTGTGTGTAGGGGAGAAACATTCTCCCAATTTTGCCCATTTCCTTAACCGCCAGTGGGTTAAAGCATAAAACACTAATGAAAATAATTACGAAACGAAATAATAAAATTATGAATAACGAAAGAAACAACTATTTTTTTTAAAAAGAAGAACAAAATAAGTAACACCTATATGGAAATAAGATATCAGAAGATTGTTAAGATGTTCGCAGACACCTCTTCCATGCAGTGGCCCGTGACATTGCAATTCAGTGGAGCTGTGACTAAGTTCGTGCAGAGGTACCACATTTGCTGCCTGAAGCAAGTAGCGTNTAGGATTAATCCCTTCCATTGTTTTCACAAGGTTATATACAGTTAGAGAATAAAAAGTTTGTGCTTAAAAAAGATAATTATTATTTATATTTAGAAACAAAAAATTTTAGTAGGATTAGACCAATGAAATTAAACATCTTGAAATTAAATTATAATATTAGTGTTTTGTTTCTTAAAATTAATACGACTGTTAAATAGAATGTTTCTTTAATTTTTAAAAACCTATGTTAGCTTACATAGTCACTTCTAGGATGCCTTTTTACTTTAAACTAAGAGTTTAGGGAGCTTTAATTAAATATTTCTATGGTATTGCTGTGCCAAAAAGTTTCTTTAATTTGCAAAAATTGAAAAAAAATGCTATAGTTGGATACATGTTATACCCCTTTAGCTGATTTCTTTCTTCGATTTGTTTCTTTCAGGAAACTGCCAAGAAGGGGCCAAAACTTGGCAATATCTTTAGCGCAGGTACTGATGGAGATACTCATACCCGTAGATACTCATATTCCTAAAATCTTTTTAAAATTTGATATTTATTAGGTCCTTAATACATATTCTCACAGACACATCATAACAACTAAGAAAAGCACATGTATACATTAGTGACTTTTCACTTGCACCCAGTAAAGCGAAAAGTACCGGTAGTTATACTCCAACAGCCTTGAATTTGGTTACCCTTGATTTGTTTACCCTCACATAAGTTTATCAATTATGTAATATTTTCACACATATTAACTAAGAAAACAGAATTTTATTTANAAACACTAATGAAAATAATTGAGAAACGAAATTACAAAATAATGAATAACGAAAGAAACAGTTATTTTTTTTAAAAAGAAGAAGAAAATAAGCAACACCTATATGGAAATAAGATATCAGAAGATTGTTAAGATGTTCGCAGACCCCTCTTCCATGCAGTGATATTGCAATTCAGTGGAGCTGTGACTGAGTTCGTGCAGAGGTACCACATTTGCTGCCTGAAGCAAGTAGCGTAAAGATGTTTCAAAACATAAAGCTTAGCTCAATCCTTGTTGTTTTTCAACTCATTATTAGTATAGCCAGTTGTCATTGTCTAGATGATGCCACAAGATGTTCCATAGTTGGAAGACTCAAGGCAGGCCAATCAAAGGCTACTTGTTGTAGGGAACTCAAGAGTTACGAGAATTGTGCATTCCTTCGACTGTGATTCACAAAAAAAGACTACCTCACATGGTGCTGAGAACATAATTAGGGGGTAGGTTCTCATTAGTGACAAGTCTAGATTTAGTCAACAACTTAGAAAAGCACATGTATAAATTAGTGACTTTTCACTTGCACCCAGTAAAGCGAAAAGTACTGTTAGTTATACTTCAACAGCCATCAATTTGGTTAAACTTAATTTGTTTACCCTCATATAAGGTTTATCAATTATGTAATATTTTCACACAGATTAACTAAGAAAACAGAATTTTATTTATAATTATTAGTTAAGTTTCTATATAGTAATAATGAAGGGAATATTTCCATGTCGTGATCTGTCATGACGGCTATAATCACCAAGGTAGCAAATTTATTTTAAACTAAAAGAAATAAACAAGTAGAAGCTTGTCTAAGGATGGCTATGAGTAATATCCTTTTAGTAGGCCCCCTTTTATAAAATTTTTTAGTTTCTTGAGGGCCATTGCCTGAAAGCTGGGCATTCGTTTGGCTATAGATCACGATACAGAAATCTTCCTACAATGAGCTTCTTGATACAGCAAGGTATAATAAACTTACTGCAATAGTAAGTGATTAAGGTAATAAAAGTTTAATAGGGTTGCAAAAAACTACGGTTAACCAATTTTAAAAAGGGAGAGAAAAAAGGAATTAAAAAGATTACAGAAAACTAGTCATTGCAGCAACTTAGACTCATTGAAATTGTAAAATTATAAAGATAAAGAAACTGCATTTATACCAGCACAGGGTTTGATATACTTCCACGGCCCAAATGTAAAAAAAATGTTTATACCAGCACAGGGTTTGATAAACTTCTACAGCCCAAATGTAAAAAAAATGTTACACAAAATTAATTTCTTCGAAAAATATTATTTGCATTTAAAAGTGCAATGCAAAATTGCTGAGCTTTTAAATAAATAATTCTAAACATGATTATGTTGAAAAATTAAAAAAACGTTATTGCGCTTATTATTATGAGAAATAAAAATAAAAAAGAACTCACACCATTCTTTAATTAAAATTGACTAATGCTGATGCACATATAGGAATATTTCAAACTATTTCATTAAATAATTAAGGGTATGCTAATGATTTTTTAGTAGGTACTTTTACCTTCAAACTAAATAAACAATACTAGCCGAATTGATATAGATCGCCTCGAAATCTTTGCATTAGCTTATAGCTCTATTTTCCCATTAATGTAGTTTAGGGTTGAGGCTTAATACATAGCAGGAGGTTGCTGTGCAGCACAGCCACCGAGAAATAAGGCCGCTTGTTTGTTCATTTACATCGCACTAGAGCTGCACTATGGGCTATTGGCGACGGTCTGGGAAACATCACTGAGGAAGAAATAAGGCAGTTGAAATTAGCGAGTGGCGTAAAATAGAACTCTCTACCTATGGCAACACTTCGCATGCTTTCAATAATAGCGTGAGGTGAGTCATACAAGAAGGAAGGAAGTTAGTTTCTGTCTTGATTTTCATGTAGATTAAAATATTTTAATTTTTAAAACTACATGGAACTGAAAACTACATTAAACATAGTTCTAAAGGAAAGAGGAAAGTACCTTGTTAAACTGTTCTACTGTAAAGAGCTCAACTTCACGCTCAAGTCGTCGGGCTACCAAAGCAGGTAAAGGTAAAATATTAAGAAAAGAGAAAATGTCGTAGAACATTCCTATGCAACTGAAAAGAGGAGGCGCGGGGAGGGAGAAGGGCTAAAAGCATGAAACCGGTCTCTCCCCAGATGGCGTATTCGAGTGTTGCGATCGCCAATATATATACTTTATGTTACGTACTTACTTTATGTTATTTAAATGTGTAATTATAAAAAAATCAAATTAATTCAGTAATTGAGTATTAACTAATTAGGATTTCTGTTCTTTGTAATTTTTGTTTGCAAAATAAAACGAAATGTTCATCAAAAAAATTACAATAAAATAAATGAGAGTTGTTTGATTACTTTTAACGAAACTCGCAGATTATTTGTAACTATTAATACTTCTGCTGCAGAACAATGAATACAACAATTCTCCTTGCAGCAATTTCGGGAAACTAACCTTCTAGAAATCTCGGCCATTTCGGTGTTGCTTTACTGAAATTACATACATTTGAAGACTTGAGTGCTCAATTTAGGTTATTGAACCTTTATCAAGTAGAAGGACAGATAGAAAAGTTTAGTGAAAGACATCACGATGTTGTAGTTCATTAACGTCACACTAGAGCTGCACAATAGCCTATTGGTGACGGTCTGGGAAACATCCCTGAGAATGATCCTAGGACATGCCATCACAATTTTGATCCTTTGCAGAGGGGATGGCACTCCCTCTTCGGTAGCCCGATGACATGTACGCAAAGTCGAGCACTTTACGGTAGAACAGTTTAACGAGGACCAATACCGCACACCCTCGGTCCCTACACAGACTGATCCAAGTGGTCACCCACCCGAACACTGATCGCAACCAGTGATGCTTGAAGCACATCAAGAAGAAGACACTCAGGGTTACGAACCTGAAATCTTCACGATTCGCACAGCCTATTGCGGGTGATACCACTCGGCTAGGGAGGCGAATTTTCAAATTTAAATTTTTGTCTAAAATAATCGTTATTGGCATTTTTATGGAGTATATATATGTCCGAAGTCGAGAGTTTGTTCCTCTGTCCTAAGATTTTGCGACCAGGTTGTGACTGTCTGGAATTTTTCCATCGAAATTGTTATTTTTTCTAGCAAATGGTTGTAGTTATATACGATAATTTTGACGTTTTTTTTTTATGTATATATTCAATGTATATGGTGCAAATATTTTAGATTAGTGGTTTTGATCGAACTTTATGTACTTTCAAAAATGAAAAGAAATCTGACAGTTTATCCTAAATCGAAAAAAAATTTATCCTGAATCGAATATTCCGTAGCATCTTCCAGATCGCAGATGAATTTTATAATTTGCCAGTGCGAAAGTGTATTTCAACAGCATCCTCTTCCGATAAATGATATATTCAATTAATTATTTTCAAAAAACTTTTCGCATTTTTGTTCTTTGATGTTTCTTTCGAAAAAATATGCTCCATTTTGCCCGTATTGCAAAGGTGGACTAAATATACCGAAAAACAAAAGTTGTGTTTTTTTTTTCTTCAGGTTTTTGCGTTATTTTCTAATGTGATTTATTTTGTAATTACTTCGGAAATAAAACTTTGCTTTTCATTTATAATATGAAATTACGAAAACTATTATATTTTCATTGTTATATTATTTAAACGTGCTGTATTATTTTTTTACTTTTGCTCGCCATATTTCAGCCGCCATTTTGTTTCACAATTGTATTTTTGAGTTCAACTTATATTGCTTTAATGTTGTCGTCTTGCATTGAATCCTGAATTTATAAACACATCAGAAACTCTGCCAAAAAAGCGAATTGTGATATTTTTTATTCAAAATATCGTTAAAAATTGAGTATAAAGAAAATAAAATAGACAGATTTAAATAAAAGTATAGCCTTCATGCACAACGCTTGTACGCTTAAAGGAGTGGCTTAATAAGACATATATTTCAAAAATACAGCAAGAATGTGGCTATTCGAGTTTTTTAAACTAAGATGTTTCTTGGATCTAGCACTGACTTTTTCGGTTTTTATAGAACGAACAGGTTTTCTTTAGAAATAAGATTTTCACTCGAAAAATTAAACTTAGAGCAAACAAGTAATAATTAAAAAATGGTGTCTTTTTTTTTTTAAACTATTTTAATAAAAACTATGCTTATTAAATTATAATGTGCTTATAAAAGCTATATACTTATAATTGCACACGTGCTTATTATACTTTGTACAGTGATCTTCGTAAGAATCAAGTATGATAATTAAACAATTAGGTAGCGACATTAAACACAAACGTATGCTCTTAGAATATACCTTTTTATAGTTGCCAGTGCGAAAGTGTATTTCAACAGCATTCTCTTCCGGTAAGTGATATATTCAATTAATTATTTTCAAAAAAACTTTTCGCATTTTTGTTTAAATGATAATTTAAATAATTTTCTGACTTGTTGTCCTCATTTATTTTTCTCACTGAGGCCGTTTTACTAACAGGCAACTTTGAAATAGCTGAATAGACGATAAAGCTCTACGTTGCACTGTGGGCCAGAAGATTATGATCTTTGGCCAAAGGAAAAAAATTAATTTTCAACCAGAATATGCGTAGGCAGTTTTAATATATCCCAAATTAAGTATTCATAATCATTCCAAAGATTATGATTTACTTTTTGGACCGACGAGAGTACAATTTATTGAAAAATATGTTAACAAAAATTGTTTTAAATGTAACTTTTTAATTTTTATTTCATAAATATATATATAGGAATTTTACCTTACTGTTACACTTTTATCAGAGTAATTAGTTAGTGTTAAATTATAATACAATTTTTCAATTTGTTGGATAAGTTAATACTCTTGACAAACTTATAGTTTATATCTTATCATTTGACATTTTACAATGTTTGGATGATTTTCGAAACTTAGTTCCAAAAAGTTCCACGAGATAATTAGCTAAACTTTTTTTTTGTTGTCGTCTTTGATGTTTCTTCTTTCGAAAAAATATGCCCCATTTTGCCCGTATTGCAAAGGTGGACTAAATATACCGAAAAACAAAAGTTGTGTTTTTTTTTCTTCAGGTTTTTGCGTTATTTTCTAATGTGATTTATTTTGTAATTACTTCGGAAATAAAATTTTGCTTTTCATTTATAATATAAAATTACGAAAACTATTATATTTTCATTGCTATATTAATTATTTAAACGTACTGTATTATTTTTTTACTTTTGCTCGCCATCAGCCGCCATTTTGTTTCAAAATTGTATTTTTGAGTTCCACTTATATTGCTTTAATGTTGTCGTCTTGCATTGAATCCTGAATTTATAAACACATCAGAAACTCTGCCATAAAAACGAATTGTGAAAAATTTTATTCAAAATATCGTTAAAAATTGAGTAGAAAGAAAATAAAATAGACAGATTTAAATAAAAGTATAGTTTTCATGCACAACGCTTGTACGCTTAAAGG